GCAGCATCAGGGTTGTCGGCCCAAGTGTGGGTCCTGCCACTGCCCTGCCCGCAGTGCTCACGAGCCCCACCCCAGCCCCCACCTCCTGGCCCTCCTCTGGGGCGGGTGACCAGTCAGGAGCCCCCAGTCCATGCCCATGAACCAAGCCTGCGATCCGGGGAGGGGCGCAGGGGACCAAGAACGGGGTCTGGGGGTGCCAGGGGCACCTGGGGGGCATCTCCCGAGGCCCTGGGGAGGGCAGATCCCAGACTGCAGTGGGCACGATGGGTCCTGGATGGGGAGGGGGCCCTGGGTTGGGGTCAGCATGCGGCGAGAGGGCGGGGCTGGACCCCCGGCCCAGCTGGCGGCCACGGGAGCAGCCTGGGAGTGAGGCGAGGCGGAGGGGAAGTGAGAGAGACAGCCGGCCCGGCGGGGGCAGGGCTGGCCACACTGACCCCTGCCGGTCCCGTGACCCCGCACCTGGGCCGGAGCTGGGCCACCCGGAGCCGGGCTTCTGCCGGGCGCCCACTTGCAGGACCCTGGGCGGCCCGGGCCTCAGACTCACGCACTGTGGGCGTTTGGCCCCAGCCCACGAGCCTGGTTGGTCTGGGGTGCTCCTGCATCTGCTCCTTGATCCTGATCTCCGTTCTCTCGGGGGCTCCCGTGCCCCCCTGCAGAGACCTCGACCCTGGGACGGGTTGAGGTCTGGGTCCTGGCTAAGATTTACGACTCCGACTTACGTAACCTCTGCCCGTTTCCTTCTGGGGGCCAGGGGCTCACCGGAGCCCTGAGACACTTCCCCTTCCTGGGGGGTCCCGGGGGCCGGCGTGAGGACACCCCAGGAGCCGGCCCGGACTCCCCTCCCAAGGCGCAGCCCCGAGGCTGCCCATGGGTCACGGCCTGATGCCAGCTCTAGGCCGGGAGCGCCTGGGGCCCGAGCGCCCTTCCTGACTCTGACAGTCCCCTTGAGAACAGCCGGGGGCGAGGGTCCCGCTGGTTCTGCAGACAGGTGGGGGCACCAGACCCCCTCTTAGCCTCTCCCGGCCTCCACACGCCCTGTGCTGTTGACGGGATGCCGCTTCCCACCCGGGCCTGGGGTGCTCCAGGTCCCAGCCCTCCCGCCCCTGTGGGAGACGCTCAGGACCCCCGGACGGGGCTGCGCCCCCCACCCCCATGTGGCGAGGTCTGTTGGCCACAGGAGCTGACTGGGGCAGCTCCCCGGGGTGGGGGCCTGGGCAGGGGCCCAGGTGCAGAGCGGGACCCACAGGCTGGCGGGCAGAGGCTGGCATGAAAGCCACCGTCTTCACTTCTCTCTCCCATGAGGTCCCTCATGCCCAAAGACCCCACCCTGCCCCCACCCACATGCCGGGCTGGCCTGGGCTGCAGCTCTCCTGGCTGGCGGCTCCTATCCCCCAGAGGATCATCGGGGGCACCATGCCCAGGTCCCCAACTCCACTTGGCAGTGCTGGCCCTGTGGAACGTGTGGGCTTGGCAGTGAGGGTGGTGCCCGCAACCCAGACAGGACACGGCGGTCACCATGTACCGGGGAGGCCGGGCTGGTCACCTCCCTGCGGGTGCTTGGCTGAGGACTGGGGGCAGTAGTGACCAGCTCCTGCCTCTGTAGCCCCCCATGCCACGGGACTCTCCTACCTCCCCGTACCCCGAGAGCTGGCTCGTGGCCCCAGAACAAAGCAGGAGAGCTGACCCGGGTGGGGACATTGCTTCCACCGGTCCCCTCAAAACATAACACGTGGCTCTGGGTCCCTCGCTCTCCTTCCTGCTGGCTGGAGTGCAGACACGATGGCTGGAGCTCGCGCAGCGACGTTGGGCCACGAGGCACACCTCCTTCACAGTGGCACGGGGCCAGGCAGCCTCGGGGTCCCCCACTGAGGGGCTCTCCCCACCCCCTTCCTTCGCCAGCCAAACTTCGGATGCCTGGCACCAAGCCTTGGGGAGGCTGGGCAGGGACAGTGACCAGCGCCCAGGACAAGCTGGGCTAAGCCCAGAGGGAGACTGCAAGGCCTTCGGGCGTGGAGCCGGGCCCCTCCCTGCTGCACCCAACCCAGACCCTGGCTGCCGCGGGCCTGGGTTCAGTGGAACCTTCTGGCAGTTGCTGCCCCCAGAGCAGCAGTGCCCAGGGCCCAGGCAGAGCCCTCCGGAGTGTGAAGGTCAGCAATGCGACCGCTGGGCCAGGGTGGGGCAGCCGGTTCCGGCACAAAGCCCAGTGGAGCAGCCAGCGAGGTGAGGCCGGTGCTGAGCAGAGGGGCCGGCGGCTGCCCCTGAGACCTGCCAAGGCCGCTGATCAGGCGCCCCTCTGCTCTCCCCAGAGACCTTTCCTGGCTCCGGGCACCGGCCTGTAGGACGGGGCGGGCCGGTGTGGAGTGCAGGGACCCCAGTGGGTGCTGCCCTGGGAGCCTGGGACTCCGCCAGAATGTTCCCATGCGTGTGTCAGAGGGGACAGGCAGGGAGGGGCAGGACCTCGGCGCCTGGAGGCCCACTCACCCCTGCTGGCCTGCCCTGGGCCCTGCCTGCCTGGGGATAGCGGTCGTGGGGGGACGCCCAGCGGCACCTGGGCCAGGGCTGCAGCCGACGGGGCTTCCGGTGCCAGGGGCAGCTGCGGGCCGGGCTGCGGTCGCGCCCCAATCTGGGCTGAGTTGCTCAACCCGCCCCGGCCCTCTTCCTCCTCTTCCTCTTTCCCCAGGCCGAGGCCGCCGGGCACTGTGCCCCCCGGGGCCCTCAGACCCCCGGCTCCCTGCCAGCGCCCGCGAAGGGGGGACTCCTGAGCCCTGCACCCCCAGCCCGGTGCTGCTGCCCCCGCTGACCCCGACTGGGACGCTGCCCCCTGCCCCCACCCAACATCTCCATGGAGAAACGGAAGCCGGCCAGGGACAGGACACGGGTCACCAGGCCGGGGTCAGTCAGAACCAGGGGGCCACCCCTGAGCAGGACCAGCAGCAGGCCACTTGAAGATGGGGAGGCCACGGTCGGGGCAAGGGTTCAAAGTGCACGAAGCAGGGCCGCGGAGCCGTCTGCGGGGACAGGCAGGGACGCCCAGGCTCAGGGCCCGCTGCCCCGGACCTTCCACCTTCCACGGGTCCCGAGACCCCGACCCCACCCGCAGGAAGGCCAGGGGGTGGGGCAGGCAGGATGGCCGTCCACTCCCACACGGGGCGAGAGCGAGTGCCCGGGTCTGGGCCTCCTCGGCGTCGGCTTGGGAGTACTTGCTGGAGCCCTTTCTGGGGGTGCAGGGTGCAAGCAGAGACCCGGGTTCCATCCCCGGCACCCACATGGCACCCAAGGGCTCGCAGGAGTCACTGCTCAGAGCGGGAGCAGCCCGGGCACTGCAGGGGCGACCTGATGAGGGTCTGCTGGGACAGGAGGGTTCCGGTGGGGGGGGGACAGGCCCGGGTGCAGGGACAGAGGTGACGGAGGTGACAGGGGTCATGGCAGTGGCAATGCCAGCACGAGGCTGAGGACAGTAAGGATGACGCGAGTCCCCAGACCAGCGCCACCACAGGGTGGGGTGGGGACCATGACTTGGGAGCTCAGTGCCTGGGGCCAGCCCAGCAGTCGGGGGCCTCAGGGGGGGAGGTGGGACACGCCCCCGGATGAAGCAGGTTGCCTCCCCCCAGGCTGCTCCCAGGAGTCCGGGTGCTCCGAGCACGGGGACCCGTCCCACGTGTGCTCAGGACTCGCCTTACCCTCCGACGAGAGTGCTCAAAATGTCCCCAGTGATGCCGAGGATGGCGGCCCCGCTCACTGCCCCCAGGCCCCCCTAACGGCTGGCAGCAGGGCCCAGGCAAAGGGCAGACTCTGTCCCAAGAGGCTCCTGCAGTTTCTATTTCCTGTTTGGGACCACACCCAGCGGCGTTCGAGGCTGACTCCTGGCTCTGTGCTCAGGGATCACTCCTGGTGGGCTCGGGGAGGGACCCAGGTCGGTGTGCCAGGCAGGTGCCCCGACCCTCTCTGCTGTGCCCGCTCTGGCCAGGGGAGGGTCCCTGCTGGGGCGGCTAGTGCAGTGTCCCCCCTGCTGACGGGCCCCGCGGTGAGCAGAGGGCCCTGGCCCAGCGTCCCCTCGGGACTCTCTGCCCCACCAGCGGGGGGAGGGGGGGTCTCTGGGGCTCCTTTTGGGGGTGCTGGGGCCCAGCCCAGTGCTGCCTAGCCTGGGGTTCTGGGGCCGTGTGACCGCCCCTCGGGCCTCTCCGCCTTCCTCGCCAAAGGCGGACACCAGTCAATTTAGTATTGGAGCGAGAACACACCCCCCCCACCCCACCCCACGGTTTCAGAGTCAAACCCAGGATGACACACCTGGCGCTCGGCGCCCCCGGCAGGACAGACGCACGGAGTCCTGCCGCCACCTGGTGGGCACCCGGGGTATGACGGCCAGGCGTGGCCGCCCGCCTTCCCGCCGCTCTAGGGACAGGGCTGGGGTCCTGGCAGTCCCGCTGAGCCCCCGGGGCCGTAGCTGCTCTCTGCCAGGAATCTCGGCTCCCAGCGCAGGGGCTGCACACCAACGGGAAGCGGGCAAGATGGGACCGGGCGGAAACAGGAAGCAGAGGCGACCCGAACAGGAAACGAACAGGAAACAACAGGAATCGGAAACACAGAGGAAACAAGGATGACTGGAACCGGAAGCAAGCAGGAAGCAAAGCAGGAAACAAAACAGGAACAGGAAACAAACAGGACACCGGCGGACAGGAACAGGAAGTAGGGAACAGGACTGAGACAGGACCAGGAAACAGGACGCAGGGCAGGCATCCCCTCCTCCTGCTCCCCCAGGTCCCCACATGGCAACGGAGACCAGAGTGCGGCGGGCGGGCGCCCCCTCCCCCTCAGTCCCAGCTGCCCCCCGCGTGGGCCCAGCTCGGGGAGACTCGGGCCCGCCAGCCCCCAGGCGGCAACCGAACGGAGGCTGGACGGTGCGGTGAGGGCTGCCGGCCAGGGGTCCTGGGGTGGGTGGGGGTGTGTCGGCCACGCAGCCCCGCCCGGCAGGGTCCCAGCACCCAGGCACACGCTCGAGACACGGCTCGTTCGTTTATTAGCTCCGGGAGCGAGAGCGAGCAGGGGCTGGGGGGGCTGCGGGGCGGGGCCGGGGCCTCACTTCTTCCACTTGTTCCTGTCGTAGTCCCACTTGGCCGAGAAGCCCTGCACGGGGGCCACCTTCATGTCCAGCATGCGCTTGGTCTGCATGGCCACCCAGTCCTCCTCGAAGGTGTGCGGGATGGGGCCGTACACTGGGGGACACGAGGGGAGTGGGTGAGCAGACCGGCCCCTGGGACCCCTCCCCAGCCCCGCCCCACGCCCCCTCACCGTAGAACTTCTCCCAGATGAGCACCAGCGCCGTGATCCCAATGAAGAAAAGGGCGCCGCCCACCACCGTCTTCCACTCGTTGGAGCCCTGGTTCATCTCGGCGAAGGTCTCGTTGAACTTGAGGCGGTAAACTGGAGAGGAGCGGAGAGGGGCCGAGGTGCCGCGGCCGCACCCAGCCACCCAGCCCCAGCCCCCTGAACCGCCCGCCCCCACGGCCCCGGCACCCACGCTCCACTTTCTCCTCGGTGGACAGGCTGCTCCAGGCCGCCTTCTCCTTCTCCTTCAGGGCCTTCTGGCTGGCCGACAGGCTCTTGACATGCGCCACGTCGGGCAGCGGGTAGTCGCGGCGGTCCACGTAGATGGGCAGGGCGTAGTCATCGCTCTTCACCACGCTCCCTGGGGGCAGCGGCCAGCACTCACGGGAGCCCCGGGCTGCCCCCCGCCCGCCTCCCCCGCCAGGGAGCCCCCCGAAGCCCCCGGAAGCCAGCCCGACCCAGCACACAGAAAGGCCTCGGGCTCGCCTGGGCAGCCGCAAAGACCAGCTCTGGTCGGCAGGAAAACCGAACCCTGCTGGGGTTGCGGGTCCCCGCGGGTGGGCGCAGCAGGCGCCTGCAGGGCTCCAGGGCCACAGGGCGGCCAAGCGCTGTCCTCCCTCCCGCCCTGAGTGGACGAGCCGGGGATCTCTGCATGGAGCGGCTGGGGGCTCACGGAGCAGGGGCTGGGGTGCAGCCCGGGGCCACTTCCCCTCACCCCGTCACAGGGACCCTCCTGGCAGTCCCCAGGCACCGTCAAAAAGAAAGGCAATCCAGCGGGGAGGGCATTTGCCTTGCACGCGGCTGATCCGGGTTCAATCCCCGGCATCCCACAGGGTCCCCCGAGCCACCAGGACTGATTCCTGAGTGCAGAGCCAGGAGGAACCCCTGAGCATCGCCGGGTGGGACCCAAAAGCAAAAAAGAAAGCAGTGCCAAGTGGGGCCTCATTCCAGCCCCGTGGACAACTGTGGTGGGCAGAGAGGCAGCTGGTTCCTCACCCGGGCCCTCCCCGGAGCTGACCACCACTGCCCCAGTCTCTGATCCTTTCTGAAACTCACTCCAGACTCACTGCGTGCCTGCAGGCTGAGGTGCGGGGCCTGGGTCCCACCGGCACTGCCAGGGGCTCTGGGCATCGGCGTGCAGAGCAAACGCTCACCCGCTGACTGCCGCCCCAGCCCCCCCCCCACCAAATTCTGACACCGATTTTGGCGGGGAGCTTTGGTGAGGGGCTAGGGGGTGTCACAGCAGCGCTTACTCCTGCCTCTGCTCAGGGTCCGAGATTAGCTCGGAAGGAACGGTCTGCAGGGCGTGAACCGAGTTCTCACCGAGGGTGCGGGGCTCCCCCCGGGCACGCGGGAGCAGAGCCAAGAGCGAGCCCGCAGGGCGCGGCCAGCAGCCACGAGGGGAGGGAGGGGCCGTCTCCCCTGTCCCCTCTGCCTCCTGGACAGCGACCCTGCTCCGAGCCTCTGTCCAGCTCTGCCCCGGCAGCGGGGAGACAGGTGCGCGCGGGCGGGCCCACGGGGGTGGGTGCAGCGCCCACCCCCACGCCCCCCCCCCGCGCGCTGCCTCCAGCCTCGCCTCCAGCCTGAGCCCCCACCCCCACCCCCACCCCGCCACGCGGGCGAGCGCCGGGCCCTTGGCGAAGGTCGTGCCGCCGCCCCCAACCCCGACCTGCGGAGACCGAAGCGGGGACTCCGAAGCGGGCGCCCACCCCTCCCGGCTCAGAAGCCCACCCGCGCCGGGCACCTCGCGGGGCGAGGCCGCACTCACCGTGGGCCCGGAGGCGCATCGAGGTGGAGAGCGCGCGTCTGCCCACGAGGCCCAACGCCCTGCTGGCCAACATCCTGCGGGACAGGGGGGTGAGCGCGCGGACCCCGGCCCGGGACCCCGGGCGACCCCGGGCGACCCCGCAGCCCCGCGCGGGCGCCCGGCCCGGCCCGGCCCTGCCCGGCCCGAGGGGCGCAGGGCGCGGCGGGCGCTGTCCAGGCCCGCGGGCGTGAGTCCGGCCCGGGGCCCCGCGGGCGCGCCAAGGTCAGGGGCGAGGCCGGCGGCCGCGCGGGCCGGGCCGGGCCGGGCCGGGCCGGGCGCTGGAGCCGCCGCCGCTCGGGGTCCGCCGGGCCGCGCCCGCCGCCTCACCTGCCGCCGTCGTGCCCGCTGTGCCCGCTGTGCCCGCTGCGCCCGCCGCGACCGCCCTCTACGCCGCGAGCGCGACACCGGAAGGACGCGGGCGGCGCGCGGCACCACGGGATCGCGCCGGGGCTCGGGGCGGAAGTGCGCGCGGCGCGCGGGGCTCGGGGCGGAAGCGGCGCGAAAGGTCGCGCGGCGCGGCGCCGCGCTTTCCGGCGCGCGCGGCTTTCCGGCGCCCGCCGCCCGCCCGCCCGCCCGCCCGCCCGGCGCCTTCCGGCGGCGCGAGGAGGCGGCGGCCAGGCGCGGCGGCGCGGCGACCCGGGCCGTGGGCCGCGCGCCCAGCATGCCCGCCGTGAAGCTGACCACGCAGGCCTACTGCAAGATGGTGCTGCACGGCGCCAAGTACCCGCACTGCGCCGTCAACGGGCTGCTGGTGGCCGAGCGGCAGAAGCCGCGGCGGGAGCAGCCGGCCGCGCCGCACACGCTCTTCGTGGACTGCATCCCGCTCTTCCACGGCACGCTGGCCCTCGCGCCCATGCTCGAGGTGGCCCTCACGCTGGTGAGCCGCCCGGCCCGCCCGGCCCGCGCGCCGATCGGGCCCCCGGGCCCCCCCCCCCCGAGCCCCGCCCGGAGCGCGCAGGCCGGGGGGGGGGGGGAGGGGGCGGGGCCGCGCGCCCCGGGGCACCCTCGCAGGGCAGCTGCAAGGGGTGCCCCGGCGGGCAGGGTTGGGGGAAGCGTGCACGGACACGGCCCGGAGAGCTGTGGGTGCCCGGCGGGGCGCGCGCACACGCGCACACATGCACACGCGCGCGCGCACGCAGGGCAGCCGCGTGCCAGTTCGAGACCCGGGGGCTCCCTGGGCTTGGGCGTCCCCAGAGGGCGGCGTGGCACGATTCTCCGGCGCCCTGAGCCCCGCCACGGCCAGTGTGTGGCGGCACGGAGCTGCCGAGGGCCGGCGGTGCACGGACGGGACCCAGGGCGCCCAGGCTCTCGGGAGGGGGCAGCACGTGTGGCCGTCTCAGCCCCTCCGAGCTGCCCGCCAGCTCCCTGGCCTCTTGCCTGAGTGTCCGTGATGGGGTCGGTTCTGACCTGAGCTCGGGAGTCGGTGCACACCTTCCCCGGCCCTTCCCACCAGGCACCCCTGAAACCCCCTTCCTGTGCAGCCTGTGCGTTGGCAGAGTGGGCAGTGGGGTCATCCCCGGCCCTCCTGAAGCCCATCGTCGGGGCCGGGCGGTGCTCGGGAGCTGGGGCGTGCGTTTCCAGCAGGGCCCCTGGCTGCCTGTCCCAGCTGGGGGGTGGCAGGTCACCCAGGCCTCGGGCTGGACCCCGCCCACTCCCTGTACCCCCTTCCAGAGCAGATGCCCCCGTCCATCCGTGGCCTTTGGCAGTGGCTGGGCATCCTCGGCCCACTCCCCCACCACATTCTCCCTCCCCCGCGAGGGTCTGCGGGAACGTCTGGGACACAGTGAGGGTGACATGCCTGATGCCCGCGCATGAGCGGGTGGGCACCCTCGAGGGTCACAGGTGTGTCCCACTGCGTCCCCAAGGGCAGCCAAGACCACGCCCGAGCTGGCTTAGCTGCCACCGCAGACTCAGAGGGCACAGTGGACGTGGCCAGTGTCCAGGCTGCGCTCTTGGTCTGCCCGTGGGGGCTCAGCCGGCCGGTGAGGGCGGGCTGTGGAGGGGGCGTGGGGAGCCTCGCTTCTGACCCAATATGGTCACGGGTGCGCGTCCCGCCTGGCGCGCGCCCATCAGAGGGTCCTGGTTTCCGTCAGGAGACCGGGAGAGCCCGGCTCTGCGTCAGAGCAGAAAAGTGCTTTTAACCGGGTAATTCAGAGGGAAAGCTGGGATCAATCTCATTTCCTCTCTGCCGGCTGAGAATAGAATTTATTGCAGCGTGTTATTAAAATTCCGTTGTGGCAAAGCAGGGTGACCTTTTAACGGTGGCCCTGGGCCTGTGAGGAGCCAAATCTGACGCGAGAAGGGCAGCCTCACGGAGCACCAGGGCCGAGTGGCGGCCACGGGTGGGTCCCCCAGCCCTGCTTGGTGTGGGGCTGTGCTGTGGGGGTCCCGGGTCAGGCCTGTCTCTGGGCACCACCAGAGGCGGGGGCAGGAGGCGCGAAAGAGACCAGTCCAGCTGTGAAGGGGACTCGGTGTGTCCTGGGGCCGCAGGCGGGCCCGGGACAGACTCACGCCCCTTCCTCGGTCCCAGCCGGCCGTGGGTGACTCCTGGGGGCTGCGGGTGTTCACCCAGGTCTCGCCCGCGCTAGCAGGAAAGGGTTCCCACGGGCGGGGGGTCTGGAGAACGCCCCTCACTGCCCACCTCCTGCCTCCTAGATCGACTCCTGGTGCAAAGACAACAGCTACGTCATCGCCGGCTACTACCAGGCCAACGAGCGTGTGCGGGACGCCAGGTGGGTGGCGGCAGGAGGCAGGGGGGGCCTTTCGGGAAGCAGATGGGCGGAGTCCGGGTGCCCCCAGGCTCCCCTCCCAGCAGGGCCCCGGGGTGGCACGAGTGGCAGTTGTGAGGCTCAGGGAAGGGGCCGTGGACAGGCCGCCCCCGGTCATAGGCTGCTGGGGGCTTCTCACTCACGTGTCCCACCCCATCCCGTGACTGTCCGTGGACTCGGGGGCCCCTGTAAAAGGTGGGCTGGGCCTGCAGGTCCTGGCTCTCGGCCCGCCCTGTGGCCCAACTGCGAAGACTCGGGTTCAGGCCAGTCTCCGAGGGCCACTGCGCGCCAGGGACCGGGAGAGGCAGGGCAGCACTCGGCGGGGAGGGGCCCTCGCCCACCCCGCGCCTCTAATCCGCTCAGCCCTGGACGCTCCCGCTCGTCTGGGAAATGGAAATAGTCTAAGTAGATTAAGTCGTTTGTCTCCATGAAACAGTATTAATCTGCTGCTTCTGTTGGTTTTGGGGTCACACCCGGCAGTGCTGGGGACGGAACCTGCAGAGCCCGAGCTCAGCCCGGGCGTCCCGGGGCCCTGATCCGGGGGCAGCCGTGGGCCTGTGAGCTGAGGCATCCCCCACCGCTGCCCGCTCTCATGGGCTGCTGGATGGGGGGGGGGGGCGCAGGGGCGGGGCTGCACGAGAGGGTGCTCGTGGGCTGGGTCCCGGCCAGTGCTCAGGCCCACCCAGGGCGGCCCGGCTCGGCGCTGTCCCCACCGTCCGGTGCGAGCTCGGCCTGACGCGCGCCCGGGCCTTGCCGCAGCCCCAACCAGGTGGCGGAGAAGGTGGCCTCCCGGATCGCCGAGGGCTTCAGCGACACGGCCCTCATCATGGTGAGTGCTGCGGCCCCGCGGCCCCTGCGCCCCCCGCGGGCAGCCCCCTGACCTCGTGCGTCCCTGCACCAGGTGGACAACACGAAGTTCACCATGGACTGTGTGGTGCCCACGATCCACGTCTACGAACATCACGAGAACAAGTGGCGCTGCCGGGACCCCCACTCGTGAGTGCAGCCCCCGCACCCCACCCCAGGGCCCGGCGCGAGCGCCGCCCCCGGCTCACCGCACTCTTCCCCCCCCCCGCAGAGACTACTGTGAGGACTGGCCGGAGGCGCAGAGGATCTCGGCCTCGCTGCTGGACAGCCGCTCCTACGAGACGCTCGTGGACTTCGACAACCACCTGGACGACATCCGGAACGACTGGACCAACCCGGAGGTGAACAAGGCCGTGCTGCACCTGTGCTAGGGCCCCGCCCGCGCCTGTCTGGGGTCCCATTAAACGTTTTTCTCTAAGCCTTGGTCGAGAAGCGTGTGGGGGCGGGGCCTGCGGGGCGCGGCCGTCACCAGGAAGCCTCGTCCTCGTCCACGGGCCCCAGGCAGGCTGTCGCCACAGGGCTGGGCCCCAGGGGCAGCTGGGCTGTCCTGCTCCCGAAGTGGCCGCCCGGAGGAAGGCCACCTGCAGCCTGGGAGCCCCGAGCCGCCGTCTGTCTGCCGCGCCGTCGGAGCTGAGCACAGCCACAGTCCTCCAGGGGGGCCTCGCCCTCCCTGCCCCGGGTCTCCCCACCCAGCCACACCGCCTCCTGCAGGCCGCCTCCACTCAGAACCAGAACCCTCCTACTGGGCTGCCAGTCAGAACCAGAACCCTCCTGCGGCCTCCACTCAGAACCAGAACCCTCCCAGTGCACCACCACTAAGAACCAGAACCCTCCCACTGGACCGCCATTCAGAACTAGGACCCTTCCCGGGGTCTGGTGTCCCTTTCCAGAGAAGGGCTAATCGTGCTGGCGAGCAGTGGGCTGGGCGCTGGCCAACCTGGGTTTGCTCTGCAGGACCCACAGGGCCCCCAGCCCGCCTAGGACTGACCCCTGAGCTGCGGGAAGCCCTGTGCACTGCTAGGAGTGACCAGAAATGAACTAGAATGCTCGGGGGTGAGGGGAGGGGCGGGGGCCCCAAGACCAAAGAGAGCCCAGGCCGCCCATGCCCACCACACCCCCCTCACCCTGGCCTGGCGTTAGGGGACCCCCTGGGTGCTCAGGGATCAGGCCAGGCAGCGCCCTCCCTGACCAGGTGTCACTGCGGGCTCCTGACCTCCCTCCGGGGGCCGGGGCTCCCGGCAGGGATTAGGGGCCCAGCGGTGCTTCCTGCCCCCGAAAGCACAGGCCTGAGCTTAGCGGCAGCTCCTGGCCGCAGAGGCCGCTTAGTCCAAGTGGGCAGCGCCGGGAGCCGGGAGGGCACAGCCCGATGGTCGCTGCAGAGCTGCCCACGGCTGACCCCAGCCTGAGCCGGGCTGGCAGCCCCCACCTCTCCTAGAGGTACAGGGGTGTGGAGGGGAGGGCCCGGGCATCTCCCTCCCTCCCTCCCTCCCTCCCCCTGCTTCTCCGGGTCCTCCCACATTCCTGCCTTTGTCCCTGTGAGCTGGGGACAGAGACAGGGACGAGACAGGTCGACAGGTCGCTCAGGGGGGCCCAGAAACAGGATCCTCTGTCCTTCGGGGACACTGGGAGGGACTGCGTGGACTGGCTGAGGTGCGATCACCAAAGATCCCGCCTGCTTCTGAACAAAACTGCCCGGGAGCTGTCAGCCACAACTGTGGCACCGCCCAGTTCGGGGGTGGGGTGGGATCCTGAGCACAGCCAGGAATGAGCCCTGAGCACCGCCAGAGCACCAGGTGTGGCCCAGGGAAGGAGGGAGGGAGGTGGGAAGGAAGGAAGGGGGGAAGGAAGAGGAGGGAGAGGGAGGAGGGGCCGAGGGGTGTGCTGTGTCTGTCCCCTCTGGCTGCAGGGCCCTAACCCCAGGGGTGCGGAAGGGTCTGGGGGGTCCCCAGTGTGTGTCTGGAGGTCTGAGTGGCGTCGTAGCCCCACAAAAGCTCCCGGGGGCCCAGCCCAGGACCCCCTTGCTGACGGCCCCGCAGGCCAGCAAAGCCCAGGGAGGCTCCACGCCCTCCCCGCCCCCCCCACCCCTGGCGCAGCCCTTTGATGCCTGGGAGAGAAAGGTCAGCTTTGCCGCCTGCCTGTGGCTCAGGGCACAGGGACTCACCCCTGCAGGGAGGCCCCCACGGGCCCGACCGACCCTCTGGGCGGTGCCCGGCGCTGTTGGCGGTCTGAGCCTCTCTCAGACAGGCGAGTGCCTAGGTCCCAGGCAGCCTCGGCCTGCCCTGTGTTGCGTCCCCGCGCCGCCGCCCCCTCCTTTGCTCCTTCATTCCCTTACGGGTCCCCGCCCCGCCCCACCCTCTGTGGCGCGCGGCAGTCCTCGGCAGAGCCCACGTGGCCTTTGGCTGAGACCCCCGCCCTGGGCTGTGCTCACCCTCTTGGCTCCTGTGGCCCAGCTCGGCCGGCTCCTTCCTCAGCCCCAGGACGTCCTCAGGCTTGGCAGGGAGAGGCCAGTGAGCACTGAGCACCGAGCACTGCAGGGTGGGGCCAGAGCCACAAAACCAGACTAAAGTTCTTTGAAACAACCAAGGCCACTTGGCTGAGATGGAGGTGGCTGGAGAAGGCCAGTGGGGTCGGGGACCAGAACGAGGCCCACAGGGTACAGCCCCGCGTTGCCCCTCCTGGCCGTGCCCGAGCACTGCCCCAGGTGCCCTCCAGCAGACCAGTAAGCACAGCCTTGGGGTGGACAGCAGAATGCAAGCACCCCTCCCGGACCTCCAGCGGAACGGGACCCCCTGGGCAGCAGGTTCCCTGAGGGTCACAGAGCACCAGCCTCATGCCTTTGCCTGAATTCAGCGGTAGGTGGGTCAGCTTAGCCCTGGGCAGGGGGGCGCAAGGCAAGGGGCATCCGGACCCCCACTTCTCTGTCACTGGGGAAGTCCCCCAGATCTCCATAACCTGGACCAAAGGCAGGTGGGGACCCCCAAAAATGGCTGCCTGAGGGCTCCACACAGCTGAGCCAGGGGGAGTGAGTGGGGGAGGGGGGTGGATGGATGGACAAGTGGATGAATGAGGGAGTGGATGAGGGAGTGGGTGGGTGGATGGGCGGGCGGGTGGGCGGTGGATGCATGGACGAAGGAGGGGCGGAGGGGTGACCGGAGGATGAGTGGCCACAGGCTCTGGGCCCCCGCTGGCCACCTGTGGGTGCAGACAGACTCGCGCCGCGTCAGGAAGCAGCTGTGGGAGACAGGCGCCACAGACACCTTGCAGGAAGGGTCAGAGGGAAGGACCTGCCCTCTGGCCCGGTGACCCTGTGACCCCAGGCACCCCCGGCCCCTCCAGCTCTGCCTGGGCTCAAAGCCACGCTCAGCAGACACCCCCGGTCAGCTCGTGGCCAGTCAGCTGGACACCCAGGCCCGCCCTGCTGCCAGCCGTGCCCCCAGGGACCTCAGCTCACAGGCCTGACCTTCAGCCTGCCCTCGGCCCCGCGTCCACCAGCTGCGTCCAGCCGTCTGTGCCCTGCAGGTCAGTACTGAGCCCCTCCTCGGGGCCTTGGGGTGACCCCCACCCACTCGCCACGGGAGCGGACCACGTCCTTAGGGGTGCAGACCAGCCTGCCTTTCTGTTGGGGTATAGCTGGACCCCTCCCAGTACTCCAGAAACCTTCCACGGACTTGCAGTTCTTCACACTATGCAGACCCACCCTGCAGGCGTGGAGACCCCCTGGTGGGCTCTGCACCTCCTGAGGGGAAGAGGGTCCCTCAGCTGAGACAAGAGACAGGGGACCCGCGTCAAGGTCAGCTGCGCAGGACCCAAGACCCACTCAGGAGGGGGGGGTGCTGCCCCTTCTCCTGCAGGCCCAGGGCTCCCTGACAGGGAGCCAGTTCTGGGGGTTGGGGTTGAGGCTCAATCGTTGACCCCACGCCTCAGCACCCAGCCTGCCTCTTAAGGACCCCACCGTAGCCCCCACCTGTCCCTAAGCCCCTGGGACTCGGGCCCGGAAGGGCTGCCCTTCTTGCTCCCAGGCCTGGGGACTCAGGGCAGGCTCCTGTGTCCTCCTCGGCGACCCAGAGCCCACGGGGTCCCCACCTCTGTCTGCACCTGAGCCCACATTCCTGGGAAGGCCAGGCGGGCTCCCTTTGTTGATCTATTTTCTCCTTATTTTTAAACACAAACCCTTTTGTGCTTTGGAAAATTCCAGCACACCGAGCAGAGAGGAGGGGGCCCCCAGGAACCCCGGAACCCACACCCCATTCTGCTGCCCTGCCTGGCTCGCCTGTTCTGGGCTTAGTGTCTGGGTTGGATTGGGGGTGTGGTTTGGGCAGCACTTGGGAATGCCCAGGGACTACTCCTGTCTCCTGTGTTCAGGGGTCACTCCTGGAGGGGCCTGGTGGGGGCGGGGAGACTGTGTGGTGCCAGCAGGGTCCACTGTGGGCAAAGCAAGTGACTGTACCCTGTACCCTCTCCCCACCCCGTGGGAGAGTCGGGGGGCTCCCCAGTGATGTTCAGAGAGCTTGGGGCCACCCCTGGTGATTCTCAGTCAGGCCAGCCCAGTCGGACTGGGCTGGTTCAGTGTTCGGGTTCAGTGGTGCTGGACAACCGGGCACACCCCAGCAGAGTCCAGGGGGTCCATGCCATGCCAGGATCAAACTTGGTCCAGCGCATGCGAAGCAGGGGCCCTCTGCCACCTCCCTGCGCGACCCCCACTTTGGGGGACTTTAAAGCAAGGTGCCTGGGCTTCAAAGACAGGCCCGCCCCTCTGCCAGAAGGCCCCGCCCCCTGGACACGCCCCCGGATACACCCCGCGACACGCCCCGCCCCCGCAGGTGTGCCCCGCCCACGCCGGTATGCCCCGCCCCTTTGGCCCCGCCCCGCCCCGGGAACACGCCCCACCCGTTCCCAACACGCTCAGCCCCCCGCAGGGACGCCACGCCCCTCCGGATCTCTCCAGAGTCCCACACAAGGACACGAGGGCGCGTGCGTGTTGGGGGTGCGGGTGCTCGGTGCATAGCTCCCGCATTCCATTAGCTGGTCTCCGGGCCCTGACGCAGTGTCGCCGCGTCCCGTCCCTGGGGAGCTCGCACCAAAGCCCCAGCCGGGCCCTACGCGGACCAATTAGGCCGGGGGCCCCAGGGGCGGCCGCTCCTGCGTGTGCCCTCCTCCTCTCTCCTTATTTATGCGGTGATCTCCCTGGGTGATCCCCTCCCGGGAACGTCCTGCCCGGCCGCTGGGGCTGGAGCCCTTGGGCACGTTCACGGGCTCTCGACCTGCAGGGCGGCGGGGGAGGGGTCCCCGGGGGTGCCCAGCCCTGTCTGCAGACAAGCTTAGGGCTTATCACGGCTTGGGGGAGAGCCCAAGCGGGCGGACACTGGGGCGGGCGTGCAAGACGGCCCCCAGAGACTGGGCCCACGCTGAGCCCAGGCC